ATTGGTTGAATCAGAGACGGCACAGCATTCCATTAGAAAACAAAAAACCAGAATACACTAGTGGAGCAAGTTAGAAATGGTGTGGGCGGGGGGGAAATACACATTCATAAACCATTCTCCTCTAGCCCCACAAAATCTGAACAAGAATAATTGAAAGAACAGAGCAGTGGAACTAACATATCTTCTATACTTGCTTTTAATGATAATGGAATCTTTAGATTTTACTTAAATCTGTGTTTAGTTTAGAATAGACATAGGCAAACTTAGCCCTCCAGATGTTTTGGGACTACAACTCCCATCATCCCTAGCTAACAGGACCAGTGGTCAGGGATGATGGGAATAGTAGTCCCAAAACATCTGGAGGGCTGAGTTTGCCTATGCCTGGTTTAGAAAATGTTAAATCTATCTCTTCAAGCATTCTTTAAAAAAGTTTGCATAGTCCCATTTTCCCTTTCCAAAAATATCTACGCGCTCTCTTTCTCTCTATAGAATTATCTGAATATAAACTGAGCGCAGCTCTCTTCTGAGCCTCAATAACTTTTCCAAGAAAATAAACATGATCTCTCTCATTTTTTTTCTAACCCTCTCAAAAATATGGGCTTAAAAAACAAAACTAGCAAACATTTTCTCTTGAAGCAAAATAAAAGAATCAGAGGCTCTACTCTTAAGTTCCAAGTTCCTTTTACTTCTCCAGGGGAAGGGGAATATATCTCCCCCCACTAGCCAAAGAGGGAAGGGGAAAGGTTAGGACAGACTGGGGTGGCTTCCTTCGCCACGCTGGTTGGGACTGATGGGAACTGCAGTCCACCAATACTGAGAGGGCGACGTTTCCCAGTCCTGACATAGGATGGCCAGGTGCAGTCAGCCCACAATGGGGACTCTGCAGAACAAGGCCCTTGGGATGTGGAGGGCTAAAGATCCTACAAACACTTGCTGCTAGGCAGAGAGTTTGTGGATCAGGCCCTATGAAGAGCAGCCCTGTCCACAGGGCAAAGAAACAATGGCACATATTTCCTTAGCTAGCTTGAGGAGGGGAGCAGGAAAAGTGGGTTCGTTTAGCAGCTCCTGAGATCAAGCTACAAGGGAGAGATCTGCTCTTCTCCTTGAGGTTCCCCCTCTCCAGGAGAGGTGCATTTAACATGGGCGCTTTAACGCGATGCGTACCAGGTATGGGGCCTTCCAGAGGTTCACATTATGGGCACAGTCCAGCTGCACAGAGTTTGTTTTTTTGTTGTTAAGCGGGGGGGGGGGGGGGGAAGAATACACAAAATGAAATATAAACACAGCTCATGTTCAAGACCTTAAATCGCCACTCATTGGTGTCTTGGGCTTTCTTTACAAAGGAACAAACCATGCCTTTTAAAATAAGGAAATAAATCATCTCAACCAGTCAGGGACAGCCAAGTGAATTTAGTACAAAACTACTTTTTTGCCCCTCCCCAAGTGCTGAGCAAACTGTGAAATTCAGTTACCTGATCCCTTTCACCACCATTCTAGCCTTCCGGGTCTCTACTGAGCCCATCTCCATCATCAGTGCAGCAGGAGATTAGCACGATTCACTAAGGCTCAATGTATTACCCACAGGGAAAAGGTGCCTCATTCGCTACCCACCACAAATACCATTACACTGAATACCCTTTGCATTCTGCAGATCAGATTCACAGAGAGACAGGGAGATACCAAAACACAGAAAGTCTAAGTTGCAGGAGAGTTGAAGCCCTGACCTGTTCTCATTTGGCACTGGACAGAGGACGACGAAGATACTGCCTCCCTATCAGCTAACAGCTTTCTCTAACCAGGTACCTCCAGATAAGCTGGTCTACAACTGCCATCATCCCTGATGATTGGCCTAGCTAGTCCTGAAGGGAGTTGCGAATTCAACACCATCCAGATGGTCTTAGGGTGGTATCCAACTATGTTCTACCCCATGAAATTAATGGGCCCAAGTTGGTAATATTCATTAATTTTAGTGGGTCTGTTCTGAGTTGAACTAACATTGGATACAAACATTTGCCCCTATAAAATCTTTTGCGTGACCCGAGGGGATGGGAATTTGATGGAGGTGTTATTGTCGAAAATTCTGGGTTTTAAAGCAGTATGACTATCAAAATGGTGAGGTTTCACTGGGTTCCTGCTTTGTCTCACACAAGCTAGAAATAATAATAATAACCACCCCCCAACACAAGATAGCAATGAAACAGTGATTCCCCTCAAAAAAAAAGCAAAAAAAAAGCTGCAAAACACCAGCCTGCTGGGTTCATAAACAAAATTCAACAAAAATTCAAGAATAAAGAAACGAAAAAGAGTCTCCAAGTGGGATCAGTGGTCTGAGAAGTTCAATTAAGAAACAAAAAACAAATACAACCATTATCTTCCAGTCAACTAGGAACAAGCACACCAATCATGCCAAGAAAGACAGTGCTTGTGATGCAACTAACATTTTAAGCAGCAGCAGAATGGCTGACCAAAAAAAGTCCCCAGCTCCCCCAACACAGATCCTATTCAACTAGTGAAGTGCACTTAGAGAAAGAGCCATGGGTGGAATTTTAGGATGGGGTGATAAAATCATAAACCCCACAGACTCCCTTGGTTCTTACTAATATTGAAACAAAACTGGTTTAGCCTTGAAAACAGTACCAAGTGGCTTGGCACAACAGAGCACACAATTTCATCATAGCAACACATTTTAAGTCAAAGCTTCAAGAACCTAACAAGTCATCAAGAGCACTGAAAGATGGCCCCTAAGAACAGCTGTTACTGGCTGGGGGCTGCAGGGAGCTGTCGCCCCAAACTTCTAGGGGACACCAGTTTGGGAAAGGTAGCAACAGAAGGATGCCCTTTCCCCTCCTACTTCCTCCTGATCAGGGGTCCCCAAACTAAGGCCCGCAGGCCGGATAAGGCCCGAGGGACTCATTTATCCGGCCCGCGGCGACCCCCACAGGGACTATCCATTTGGTCCGTGAGGCTATTTTGGCCAAGCCATGCCCACCTGCCCTACACGGCAACTGAAAAGAGGGGCTTGCAAGCACCACTGCTTGGCAATGCCTACAGAACCCCTAAGAAAAGCACTGCTCAAGGTAGAACTGTGAAAGAGGCTTCTGAAGAGCAGATAATCAGCTGATCGTTGTGTCTTCAGAAGCTCCTTCAAAGCCCCATCCGGCACAGCATTTGGAAAGGGGTTCAGCAAAACTGATTACAAGGCCCCTTCAGGTTTTGGCCACCTGTCAAACTTGGCCCAAAAGCAGTGGGTGGAGTAAAATCTGGCCCACTAGTCAGAATGAATTTTCCCCTCCCTGCAGTAGATGATGTGTGCAGCCTGGAGCCCTAAATATAGCTAACCCCTAAAGAAAGGATGCTCCAAAGCATGTACAGTGGTACCTCTGGTTGAAAAGAGCGCAACCTTCAGCGGCACTTCTGCGCACGCGCGGGTTGCGATTCGCCGCTTGTGCGCATGGCGTCATTTTGCGTGTCTGCGCATGCGCGAGCAGCGAAACCCAGAAGTAACCCTTCTGGGTCACCGCAGGATGTAACCTGAAAGAACATAAATGAAGCGGACATAACATGAGGTATGACTGTAAAGTGAAGGCTGTGTGCCCGCACTTCCACCTCAGAACACAGTGGTCTAGTCAGTTCAGAGAGAGCAACCCTACAGAGCCATGTTTCCTTTCCCAATTCCCACCCACCCACCTGAATTCCATCTGTGGCACTCCATTCACAAAACCTCTGTTACAAAGATGGCTCTCAGCCCACTTGAGTATAAGTATCAGGGGTGGGGAGAAAGAAAAGGAGGAGCCCCTCCCATCCATTCTACTTTGCTGCAGGTGATAAGTGTGAATGTGTGTGCTTTCATGTACACAAACACCCAGTGCTGAGCACACGTGTTAACAGAACATTAATGGCCTTGGCCACACTCTTCTCAACAGTGGCTGGCAGTGCTCCCAAAATGTATACGCTGTCTGCAGAGCAGCAGACATGAAAGTGAGGTGGGGAAGGTGCTAAATGGAAAATAGTGTATAGGCTGAAATTATGCACAAGTAGTGCCCGTGTCCTGCCTGCAGCAGGTCAAGGCAGGAAACACCTTAAGACCTAGCAATATAATTGCCAGGATTATAAGAGTGGAAAGAAAATTGAGCTCAGACTCTCTTTCTCTTCTGCTGTATACCTGAACTGTTATTCCCACCCCCCTGCAAGGTCTCAGTGTTGGAAGGGGAAAGAAGAAATGGAGAAAAAGCTCAGGCATCAATTATTACAAAACCCAATCCCGTCACCATGCTCCAAATCATGGTAAACTAGTATGAGGACACAGCAAGCAAAGGCAGGAAAATGAAGTAGTAGAAGAACCCCAAGATGGTAGTTTTCTCCCATGAAAACAAACATCTCCTGCAAGCAGAAATCTACCACAGCAACAAGTAGACTGAGCTAGACCATCTCTTCCTTCTGTGCTAGTGTTCTACTTCAGAAGAATGTTTTTCTTTACACAGGGGGAGCATTAAAAAACCGGAATCTCTCCTGTTTTAAGGTTACTCTACCTCTTCATTCTGCTGCTTGCATTCAGCAGATTTAGCTTGATTCAGCAAGGGATGGAGTCCATGGGCCAAAGCAGGAGCCTCCTGGACAGATTTTAGGCACGTTTTAGGCAAAGGGAGAGGAGACTGGACTCATTATAGCAGCAGCAATTCCAGCAGCTATTCCAAATCAAAGCTGAAAGACTGGTAGGGGATAGGGGGAAGAACTATCAACCATGTTTCAGTTTTGGAAGAGTGTCAAAACTCTCCCTACCCAGAATGGGATAAAAGACAACCCTAATTCAACACATTTTCTGACCCAGAAGGTAGCCTTCTCCTACTGGCCTCACAATGAGCAGACAGAATCATAATTACAGTGGACGCTCGGGCTGTGAACGTGATCTGTGCAGGATGCACGTTCGCAATCCGCAGTGGCGCGTCTGCGCATGCGGGGGTTGCAATTCAGCGCTTCTGCGCATCCGCCGAAACCCGGAAGTAACCCGTTACAGTACTTCCGGGTTTCGGCGGGTGCGTAACCCGAAAAAACGCAACCTGAAGCGGCTGTAACCTGAGGTGCTCTGATGCTCGATTGTTACAGACACCCCTACCAACCTATAACATCAGTTCTTTGTTGCAAAAAATGAATGAAGAGTGCAGGTTGCACTTCTGAAAACAGCCTTTCAAGGGTACGTTTGGAATCCGGAAAGTGCTCCATCTAATTAAAACTGAGGCCAGGCACCCCTTCCATGTCCTGCAGTGGAGGGCGGTGGGGGGGGCTGCTACTGTAAGACTGCAGCTGGCAATACCATGATGTGCTCAGCATTCGTAATTCATTTGTTTTCTCTCTTTCTTCGAACAATCAAGTTCTATTTTTCAGCAACTCTTGAAATGCACTTTTGGAAGAAAAACAGAAATGAAAAGCCATTTCCTATGAATGGATGATCTTTGGGGCTGTTGACTTTAAACTTAAAAAAAAATGTTTGGGTGCTCTGCTCAGCAGCTGTCCTCACAGCAAAGTTCTCCCGTGATCTACAAGGCAGAAGCCTGCTGAAGAAAAAGCTGCAAGAGTGATTGCACCAAAGTGGCTGCTTCCACCTCGCCTTTTGCATTCAGTTAACAATGCTTCTCCTCAACCCCAAATTGATTTGGGGAGGGGGGTTGAGAGGAAGTATTCAAAGTGGTATAACCCAATGGCTGAGAGTCACAGGATCAGCAAAATCCTACACATGAGAAGAAAAAGTGGTTCAATGGAATGAGGGTTTGACATGGAGTGCAGAGTTGTCTTCCCCTGACAAGGAAGATTGGCAGGAAATTTCTGGGACATTGCCAGATAAATCTGAGGAGACATGAGGCAGATTTGGGCAAAAGTGCATGTTCTGGAGTGTCAAGTCCTTGGAGAAGTTTCTGCAGTGCACACATGTCAGGGAACAGGTTTTGGGAAATCCTGCCTGGAATGTTGCTTGAAGAGAGGTTAGAAAAGGAATAAAGAATGGCATCCACCAACACCACCGCAGATGGGTAAGGAGACTGTTTCCAGCAGGTCTACTTGCTTCTGTTCACATTTAATGGGTTTCGATTACCACTGGCTCGTAAACTCCAGATGAGACTCTGTGTAAGAAAGAGGGGAGGGAGCCATTATAATCTCTGTGTGTGCAGGTCCCATTTGTAAAGAGCTGAAACTTAAAAACGAAGACATTAAGAACTGTTCTAATGGAGATATTGAAGATAACTAACCTGGCCTGAAATCATACGTCAGAAAGCTTTTTTGGTGGGGGGTTTTCAGGGGTGGGTGGAGAAAGAGAGAAAGAGACACACAAACATTGCTTTAATTCAAGACACTTTACCATGTTATTAGCAGGGCATTTCGATACTGGTAAAAATAGATTTCAATGGAGCCAACTATCAGGATGCCTTCTTATTTTTTCATGCATGCCATGCTTTTAGCAAAGTTTGCAGACAGGGTCATATCCTTTAACTTAGTAGTAGATAATGGGTACTATGATTTTGTGAAATGGCCTAAGGCCTGTGGATTTGTGCTTATAAAACAATGCCTGTGATTTATTATTTTACAATCGAATAGTAGGTTTCAAAGAGGTCACTCAGGACTACAGCATATGCTTTGCATACAAAAGATTCGAGGTTCAATCCCTGGCATCTCTAGGTTAGGTCAGAATACTGCCTGAGGTCAATAAAGACTGACATAGTGTTCACCAACTCCCATCAGCTCCAACCAATAGTCAGGGATGATGGGAGCTGTAGTCTGGGAAAGCTAGTGTAGACAGTGCTGAGCTAGATGAAGTCATGGCCTGTCTGATATGGAAAGCATATGGTTGCAGGGGTGACTGAGCATGCATTTGCCAAAATAGCAGTACCAAAAGAGTACCTCCCTAGGCCTTTTACTTCAGTATTTCTTAGGCACTACCTAGATCCATCCCCCCAAACAAGCTCTTGCCATCAATTTCCAAAGTTGTGGATTAACTGAAAACACCCACCCACAAAATACTAGCAAAAGCATCTCCCCACAGGCATGGTCTAAACCTAGTCTATCAAAAGGAATCTGCTAGGGAACTCATACCTGTTGGCAAGCTGAATTCCGCTTAGTGTAGTTGTGCCATCTCTGCTCACAAACAGCCTCAGGTTACTATCTGTAAAGAACAAAGGAAGGGGAAGCGTGAAATAAAAAACTGCCACAATCCCCAGAGGGGATGGCTATGCAAAACTGCTAAGCAAGGGAAGGCATTTTCACAGTTGCCATTTTGCACAGCCATGAGATTACACCATCTTCAGCATCAGAGAACATGCTTAGCAGAGTATTTGGGAAAGTGCTCTTCATACTGGGTTAGGCACTCTCAAGCTACAATGGCAAAAGTGCTGCACAGCAAACAGGAAGGAGGAAGCTGGGATGACACCAAAAGGGGAGCACATCTCACACGCAAGAAATGCTTTCATATATGGAAGATCCCCTAGATAAAAATAAAGATTGTATTTAGAATGATAAAGCAGTTTGGGAGTCCGGCAGGATTTTCTGTTAATAAGGATAAAGCTAAAATGTTGGTAAAAAATATAGATCAATGAAAGAGACTTTGCAAGAGGAATTGGGTGTTAAAGTGGAAAAAAGGTGAAGTATCTGTGTGGATATGGATAACAAATAAGAATGTATTGTTGTATCAAAACAACTATGAAAAAGTGTGGAATACTGGGAAACAGGACCTATTAAGATGGGATAGGGGAAAACTCCCATTAATGGGAAGAACCTCAGCTGTAAAAATGAATGTATTGCCTAAAATGTTTTTTTTTTTGCAGGCAATACCGATAATAATAAAGCATGATTGTTTCAAATAATGGCAAAAAGAGTTAACTAAATTTATCTGGCAGGGGAAGAAATCTAGAATAAAATATAAAATACTAAGAGATGTCAAAGAAAGAGGAGGATTTGCACTGCTGGATTTAAAATTATATTATGACTTATCATGTTTTATGTTGTTATGGGAATGGTTGCTATTGGAAAATACCAGATTGCTAGATCTGGAAGGATATAAGGTTTGGATGGCATGCATATATGTGGTATGAGAAGGTAAAAGTCCACAGAGAATTTTTAAATGTATTATAAGAAGCTGTCTATACAGAGTGTATAAAAACCTATTGAAAAGAAAAGCGCCATTGTGGCTATCCCCCATAGAGGCATGTGCACAAAAGAAAACAAATATGGGGGCAAAATGGGGGGCTTATAGAGATATATTAAGTTTTTTCCCTGAAGCTGTTTGTAAACTTAAAAAACATTAAGAGATCCAACAATGGATATGATTGGTTTCAGTATTGTCAAGTAAACGAAATATTTTAAAAAGATATGTAGAATGGTTTTACATAACAAAGGTCAGAATTTGAAATCAAACTGTTAGGGGTTAAAGTAAAACTGATCTCAAAAAAGTATAAACTGTTATTGGAATGGGAAGCAAAAGATGAACTGGTTAAATCAGTCATGATACAATGGGTCAAAGCTTTAGGGCATAATATTGATATGTCTTCATGGGAAAAACTGTGGAGAGTAAATCTGAAATTTACTCCTGTTATGCATTAAAGGAAAACTATATGAAAATGATATACAGATGGTATCTAACACCAGACAAATTGGCAGAGATGTACAAGATCTCAAAACAAACACTGGAAATGTCAACATAATGAGGGAACATTTTTTCATATGTGATCAACATGTGAAAAAGCCAAACGTTTCTGAGAAATGATACACAATGAAAAGAAAAAAATTTTAAACTGGTAATTCCCCCAAAACCTGATGCTTTCCTTTTAGAGATAATAGGGTCAGAAACCTCCCAAAAGATGATAAACTTATTTATGTATGCAACAACAACAGTCAGAATCTTGTATGCGCTACAATAATCCTACTATTAAAATTGGTCATTTCTTCATCAGAGGGCAAATTTAGCAAGGGATCAAATACTTTCCCCCCTCTCTGTAGGAGGCAAAGCCTTACAGAAAACAAACCTGAAGACCACGGGAACAGACTCTAGTAAATACTAGTAAACTCACCTTCAGTGTTGCTGACATCCGTGAAGTCCTGACTCTGCATGATTTTCTCCACTATGTCATCTGCATCGATCCGGGTGTCGTCCACCCAGGTGGGATGGCTTTCCACAGAATCCTTTTTTCTCCTTAGGAATAGAATATGGAAAAAACAGAGAGAAGTGAAGGAGGCTATCCTGATAATGAAAACCTCAATTTCTGCCTGGAAGGGAGAACATGAAGTTCTGCTTTTATATCCAATAATTTATGTCCCACATATTTAAGCATCACTTTAAAAATTTTAACCTACTGCAGAAAACTACAAAATATCCATAGGCTAAACTGCCCATTTGGCCCGTAAGACAATTTTGGACAAGTCATGCACACCTGCACTACACCTGATGTCATATATGACTTCAGATGTAAGGTAGGCAAAGCCAAACCAGAAGGGTATTTGCAGGCACTGCATATTGTAGGCACAGTGAAAGGTGAATTGCATAGCCACTCCCAAGCATGAGACAACCACCTGGTTGTTGGGTGCTTAGGAAGAACTATGCAAGGGACTTGGCATGTGTCAATCACCCGGCACCAAATGATTGACAAGCCAGTTGTCCTGCCCACTTGCCAAAGCTGGCCAGTGGGGAGAGGGGCAGAAATAAATATAATATATCTGGCCACCAGGATTTCACTGTGCAGGTCTGGAAACACTGTTCATTGCAGCAGGCAGCCCGAAGCTAGAAGAACCTGAATTCTTTTTCAGAAAAAGGAGAAATGTCCCCAGATTACTGAGAAACGCCATTAACTCAGTGAAATAACAAATACTTTGAAGGATTAAGATCCCAAGCATAGACTCCATCATGTCCAGTTTAACTAGTGGTGGTAAACATGTAGCCCACCTGATGTTGCTGGACCAGAACTCCCAGCGTGTTTGGCCACTTGTTGGTTGGGGCTGATGGGAGCTGAAGTTCAACACCACCTGAAGGGCCATAGATTTCCATACCATTGAATTAAAGCGTCTTGGGGATCCATGGTCTTAATTTGGGATAAAGAAGCTTCATATGTGCTCCAAGAGACACAAATGAATTTTCTCCCATTGCACCAGTGATGGGAAACCTCCAGCACTTTAGATGACTTTGGCCAATGATCAGGGAAGATAGGAGTTGTAGCCCAGCAGTATCAGGAGAATCAAAAGTTCCCCACTCCTCCATTACACCAACCAACCAACCAACCAACCGTTTCTCACCTGGATGATCTGTCCAACAGAAGGTTTGGTCTTGGTGGGCGAGGTGGTTTCTCCGGCTTGTGCTCCCGCTCACCCTCCGGGCACTCCACTGTCATGCTAAGTCCTCCTGAGGCGCTACTGCTGGTGGATGTGTTGCGGCGGTGGGTCAGGTCAGACAAGCTGGAGGATCGTGAATGCTCGGTGCTGTAGCCTGTGAACAGATGTATTAGGTACTACAAGCAACCCACTTTTCCACACCACAGCCACCAGGCACAAGGGTTTGCATGCAGTTTGCTCCACAAACAAGGAAAGCTTTAATCTGCTTATAAAAAGGACAATTCTTGCTCCAAGTATATCCTTCATATATTGTCAACACCAGTCTTCACCAACCGGGTGCCCTCTAGATTTTTGGACTGCAAGTCTCCGATGAGAATCAGAGTCCAAAATATTTGGAGGCTTCCAGGTTTGCGAAGAATGTATTGTCTGAATCAGTGGTTCTCAAAGGGTGTGGCGCGTTACACTGGTGCGGCAAGTGTGGCAGGAAGATTCAAGGACAGTCACACAGTGAGCTTCACAGCTAATTTGGGACTAGAACCAGGCCTTCCAGGTCATACTCCAACCCTCTTACTACTACATACTGGCTCTTGGACAGTAACACAGAGCTCTGCCCCACCAAAGAGAGGTGTATGTGCTTGGTTGTTTTTTTTAAAGCATTGTACCAAAGAATTTTATGCTTTCTAGAGTTCTGCAATTGCAGCAAAGGTAGAATTAAGCAAAATTAAGTGCAGCAAGGAACAACTGCATTGTACTTTGCATTTCCCTGGCAAGCTATGCAACAAGCAAAGTTACCAGAGATTTTGGATTGCTGGCTGGCGTAGCTTGAATTCCGTGAGTGTCCGGAATGGAATACTTCATCAGGACTTGACAGGTTCTGGTCTGGTTCTTCTGTTACACCTGATAAGGAAAGGAGACAAGGACATGGAAATATGCTGGGAGATGTCAGCTATGTGGTTTCTCTTTCTCTAGAAAAGTTCCACAGGATTTGTTTCAACTGGCATGTAGTGAGGAAGCCATGCCATCAAATGTCAATATTATCTGTGCAAGAGGAGCAACAGCTCTGGAACTGCCAAGCAACTTCCCACAACGATAGCATGAGGCATTCCCTTGGACTGCCCCACCCCCCTCCTGAGAGATCAGCCAATTATTGAACGGGTCTGACCCTTCAAGTTTACTGGGTGAGGTGTATCCTTTGATTCTGTACAGCAGTGGTGGGGAAATTCTAGCCCCTTGGCTCCAATTGGGCCTGGTAGTGGTCACAAACCACAGCCGCCAGCCCAACACTTGACATACGTATGTGGCATCAGATGTGAGGCAGGTAAAGACTTGCCTGGTACTGACTGCACTAGGGAGTTCCTCGTCACTACTGAGAGCAAGTGTCTTTGGAATTGTTCCCCAATGTAGTAGTAGTAGCAGTAGCAGTAGTAGTAGTAGTAGTAGTAATAATAATTATAATCCCAAAGGATTTTGATGTCAAAGTTGGTCCATGGAGCAGGTTAAGAACAAGTCCACCCACTGTATCCCGTTTCCTTCCCCTGCTGCAAAGGATTCCATTTTTAAAAAGCTCAGCACAACCATCAGGAAGTCAGCACACTGCATTCCAAAGGTGGATTTTTTTTGCCTTTGCTCCCCTTTTGTGCTTCCTATTTTAAGACCTCTCTCATGCAACAGAGCAGGCACATCGTTGAACTATTCAATGTTAGCACATGGTGCAGACTGGCAATTGCCCAAGTGGAAAGAGAAAAGATACAGTAGTACCTCATGTTACAGACACTTCAGGTTACAGATGCTTCAGGTTACAGACTCCGCTAACCCAGAAATAGTACCTTGGGTTAAGAACTTTGCTTCAGGATGAGAACAGAAATCACGCGACAGCGGCAGCGGGAGGCCCCATTAGCTAAAGTGGTACCTCAGGTTAAGAACAGCTTCAGGTTAAGAACAGACCTCCAGAACAAGTCTAAAAATGGAAGGGTAGCGGTAGAGCACATGTTCTGCCTATAGGAGGTCTCAGATACAATCGCAGGCATCCCCAGATGGGACTGGGAAAGACTCCCTGCCTTTCTGAAACCCTGGTGAGAGATTAACAGTCAGTATAGACAACACTGACTATGTTGGACCAATGGACCAATTTGGTATAAAGTGGCTTCCTGTGTTTGCTGAAAGATAGGGGAGCTGTTCTAGGCCCAGACAAAATAGACTGGCACGAGGAGAGAACCAAGTGGAGAACAGTGGTTAATAAATAATAAATAAACTTGTGCAGAAAAAGAGGAAAGCTGCAAATAGAAGAAAAGATACTATTTGCAGAAAAGAGCTGAAACACTTAAACCCAAAGAACAGCAAGCTTGATGCCAATTCAGAATGTGGTGGAGATATAGCAAATGTACTACAGAAAACATATATTACCTGTACCTGAACCAAGAATGGTGGGTCTGGGCTTGTTCTGACGGACTGAACCAATGGTGGCAGATGTGCTACTGGTGGGAGTTGTGCTGCTGCTGGTCGTCCCCTCCCCTTTACAGGTCAACTGCAGGGTAGAGTCCTGGCCTGGTATAGTAATTGATTTGGCTGTGGACGGAGGCCTACAAAAAGCAAACACACACAGAGAGTTTAACAAGATGCACACAGCGATCTAGGAACATTAGCAGTAGTCAGTCAGCCAGGGAACGTTAGCACTGATCATTTTGCTTTGCTGCATTACAAGGAACGAAAGAGACAAGCAGGTTGTAAATAACAACATAACAGTAAGAAGGGAGGGAGAAAGAGTTGCTCATGAGAAGCTGAGGTCCTTGCTGGTATGTCCTTGAAAAAAAAATTCTGTAACAGCTGTGTAAGTGAAGTATGCAATATGATATGAAGTAAAACACTAGCAAGCCGAGAGTGAAATATTTTAGCATGTAAACAGGACTATATGGAATTGGCAGAAATGACTGGCAAAATCCGAGACCAGGGAGAAGAGTTGGTGGAAGAAGATTGGAAGAAATTTAAAGACTACTTGCAGAAATACTGTAAAATTAATGAATGTTAAAATGATGTTGGATTGAAAATAATTGGTATTGGTAATAAGATTAACAAGAATATGTAAATACGGATTGATAATGGATGAAAATACATAGGTATAATAGGCTAAGATATAGAGTAAAGATAAATGAAAGAGGGTAAGGATTTGCTGAAATGAATTTCCAAACGGGAATACAAAAAGGGGAGGTGTGAGGAGGTCAAGGAAATAAGGAAATGAGTCTAAAGATATTGAAAAATTGATTTATTTTTAAATTTTTTCTTTTTAGCTATTAGTCTTTTCTTTGCATTTTGTATCTTTTTTCTTTCTCTTTCCTATGTGTGTTTTTTAGTTTGTTAATTTTTGTTGTAATTTTCTCTATTCTGTAAACTTATGTTTTTTGTAAAACCTTAATAAATACTTCATAAAAAAATATTTTAGCATGTAAACAGAGGGCTCTGATGTGGCAATGAGGGCTCCATTTTGAGTATACTGTACAGCATTAAGACATCTTCCACAGCAAACAGAAACAACTTGATAGTCTTGAGACATAATTGCATTTTACTTCCCTTCTCCCATCAATGTAATGAAGGAGGACAACAGGGATCCATGTGACAGGCACCTTAAAATGGTTATTACATAGTGTCTGTAAGCAGCAATGATTTGACCAAGTGGTTCTCAGGAAGAGAAACTACCTGTTGTGAGGCAACAACAGAAAATATATCCTTTAACAGTAGCTGTTGAAGCAGTACCTTGTGAATAAGTGGTTGTTGACTGGCTAGCAGCCATCTCCAAAGTCAGCAGCCCCCGCACACGCCGTGCAGGGGCTCTTAAACCAGCCAGCAACAACACACAGGCACAGCACTGACAGAAATGCCAGAACACAGAACACACAGAAATGTGTGTTCTCTCTGAGGCAGCCACACAAGGGTGAGATCTTTTCAGTGGTGCCTCCCTGTCTGTAGAATGCACTCCTCAAAGAGTTGCGCTGGGTGCCATCATGATCAACCTTTAGACACTGGGTGAAGATATTCCCATTCACTCAGGCATTTGACTCTTAATTGGGGTGTAATTTGCCTGTATTGGTGTTCATCTTTTTGTAGGGTGGGGTGGAATTTGTCCTTTTTATGTTACAGCAGGATAAGCACTTTTAGTCAAGAATATTCTTTTATCTTTTTGATTTGTTTTCTATTTTAGAATTATGGAGGCTTTTATACATGTAAGTCACTCTGAGACATTTTAGGCAGTAAGCGCCGAATGCAAGTGATAGTGATGATTTTGTTACTGGTGAAAGAAGCACTGGAATCCTGGACTCCTCTGGGGGGGAAGGGTGGGGGTATAAATCAAATGAATTAATAAACTGAATGAATCAATACTCTCTTGACTGCCCCATGGCAGCAGCCAGCAGTTCCCACCAGCAAATAGCTTTACTATAGCCACTGTTGAATGTCACCCTGTAGAGAGGTGACCTCCAACAGGCAAACACTCAGAATTACATCCCAAGCCACACACCCCGCTCAGAAGTCAGAGGGAAGCAGGCAAAGGTATGGCAATCCTGGGCTTTGCACACGGCATCTCATCATCTCCTTCTAGCGTAGAAGTGTGTGGAAGCACAACAGCAGACATAATTTTCTCTCTGAACTCTGCCTGTTTTACTCAAGTCCCTTTGCTGACAAAATAATGGCAAAACAAAACAAAACAAAACAACCACTCACGTTTTGAAGCAAGGATCTCCAGAGAGCAGGGACATGCCAATTGTTACCTGAGGAAGATTGAAATGAAAGTCTTGAAAATATACATGTAGACCACCCTGGTAATTCATAAAACAAAAACAAATAAACCATAGTTTTAAACCAACCAGAGTTCTGGGTTTAGAAGTTATTGGGAACTGTCGTCGGGGTTTTTATTCTTTTCCCTTTTTAAATGGAAGCAGAGGCTTTCCATCTCTTCCTGGCCATAATAAGGGAAAGGGAAGGGTGAGCTTGCTGCGGTTTGTTACCATAGCAGGAAACCATGGTTTCCCTTTACGTCTGAATCAAGTCTAAAGGTACTAAAATTGCCCCTAAAAGCGATGACAGCATAGAACTAGGCAATGTGCGTGGATATATATTTTTGCTGATCATGTAGTTCTCCACATCCTATATGGGAAACTGTTTTTTCCCGTTGGGTAGGGAACCAGCAGCTTCAAGTTCCTCCTTTCAGCACCCTACTGCCAAGACACACCAGAACCGGAAGAAATAAGAGGTTGGGGAGGGGGTGGAGTAGAGAGAAGGATTTTAAATATATACACATTTAGGCTGAAATTCAGAAACAGCACCTGGTCCATGGAATTTTTTAGCATTTACCTTCAATATGGAATTATCCTGCCGAGTATTCTTGGTGTCATATCCCTCCAGCAAGCAGCATCTGACAGTGAACCCGGAGCCTGCAAATTCTGCTAGATTCAGATCAGCAAAACCCAGCTGTAAAGGCAACAGAGCCAAGATCAGCAAAACTCCACGTGAACGCACACGCATGCACACACACAAACTGCACTACGCAGTAAACAAGAAAAAAGAAAAGCACCAAGTGGGACAGGACCAGAATTTGCGGTATCCAAATCCCATTTTGGAACATGCCCTGTTCCTCACCTGGAGGAAACTTCCAGAAAAGTTTTGTTCAGGAAACATTTACAGAAAGGGTGGAAGAAACAGAACTGCTGTTCTGGCAAGGACAGCGTTAACCCGCCTGGAGTCATTGCATAATCAAGGACATAGAAGACACTAGGGTCAGTGATGTGGAAAAACACACACTCCTATGTGCGCACGCGCGCGCATACACACACACACACACACCCCAACATAATAAAACACTCTTTGTATTATGCCACCCCAGAATGCACTGCAGCAAGCTCTCCAAGAGATGAAAGGATATTGCTGTAGATGAAAATCAGTGCACAGTTCCTAAGGAACAAGACTGGGAGATTGCATGGAAACAAGGCTTCAGACTTATTTTAAAATTCTGAGGAATGGGTTAGAAATGCTCTTGTACAGCAAGCCATATGGTGAAGTGGAGGAACTTGCCACTAGAGTATGAGATGTCCAACTGACACCAAGCTATAACATTTTCACATACTGATCCATCTAAAGATAGCAAAGGAAACTTTTAGGGGATATGTTTCGAGGAGTTAAAAATCCATTATTGTCTCCAGTTATGAGAAGGACTGAATGCAGTTGTGAAGGGGGGGGGCAGAGGATGACACCAACATGTTAAATGTTATAAGCCACCTTTCCAGATAAATGGCCTTCCAAAGCAGATTACAAATGAAACAAAAAGTACAATAGCACAAAATTTAAAAGTGCAAGCCAACAACACTCTCTCTCTCTCTCTATATATATATATGTATCTCAATCACAGAAATATAACTGATGGACATCTTGTCTGGAAAGCCAGTGCAGGGGAGAAATAGGTCTCTGGGGCCTTATGCAAAGCCTAAATTGCAGGTACTGAGTGCAGGTCCAATAGGAGGGAGTTTCACAACCTCTGGGTCACCCACCTTACTGACAGGAGAGGATGGACACCCCAGGAGAGCCTCCGAATCATGCCTTAGGGCGCTATCAAGATGGTATAGGTGCATGTGGTCTAATGAACAGCTTAGAACCAAAACAGTTTAGGTATTTTACTTAAGCAGCATTTTAGCTCATTATAGGATATATTTAGCGTCAAACATAATTTGTTTAGGGTTTCCATCGCCTGATAAAGAAGAATTCTGAAGGCAGGCTTTCTCCTCCCTTTCCCTTTCCCCCACCATATGGGACAAATCACAGTAATTGCTTGCAAATTTTAGTATTGGCACCACAGTACAATCATACTGGAGGTGTTGCCACTTTTAACAGGATGTAAGGGGTAGGACAACTTTGTTTTGGACCCAAACATACAACACGTGGCTAAGGTGTAATGGTGGAAGCTCCCAGCTTTCTTGTATCTGACACCGCTTCAGAAACTAGTTCTATGGCAGCCATGTCCAATGCGTCAATCGCGGGAGTGATTCTGGTCAATCTGTCAATCTCCCTCTCTCTCTCTGGACCCAAACCAGCTCTTTCTGTCTCTGAGGGCTTCTCTCTCTCTCTCTCTCTCTGAAGGAGAAGCGAGCAAGTGCAAGGCGGGAGGAGGTCTACGCAGATGGAGAGGCTGAGCAAGAGCAAGAGCGAGAGAGAAGCCCTGCGCCCTGGCTCCTGAAGAGAAAGGGCTGGTTTGGGTCCAGAGAGAGAGCGTGCACGTGCGAGAGACCACAGTGAGGCTTACTCCCAAGTAAACACGTGAGAGTGAGGGGGGACCCTTCCTGGCTGCTGCCATCCCGCCCACATTGAGAGATTTACTTCCTAGAAGACATACAAGAGGATTGGGCAGAACAAAACTGAAGGGCAGGGGGAGAGAAATTCTGGAATGCATTGATGGGGAAACAAAAATCCTACAGGGTGTGCAGCGTGTCCCCCCTCCTCCCTGCTCTAAAACAGCTGGCCTTTATCTACAACAACACCCCTTCTGCGCTAGTAGTTTGCAACAGCAGAGGATGTGTGTTTGTGTGTGTGTGTCTGTAGAGAGAGGGAGGGAGGGAGGGAGGGAGAGAAGCCCTGCGCACTGGCTCCTCAGAGAGAGAAAGGGCTGGTTTAGGTTTACTCAAAAGGAATGGGTGGGTTGGATCCAAGGGAAAGGGCTTCTACAGGTTTCACCCAGTTCTTAAGGTGGTGCATGAAGGCTGTCAACTCTGCAGTTGAGTTTACCCAATTTCTGATCAAACTATTGGGGAAACCGCTGTGGCTGACATGTGCCTGACTCATTTGAAAAACAGCAAGAGTCCTTGGGGTACTTTAAAGACTTAACACATTTATTATGACATGAGCTTTTGTGAACAACAATCCGTGCATCATGTTCTGATTATGTAGGACCCTGTCCTCAATGTTATTTTCTTATGTTATTACAAGTATACGAAGCATGTATTTTTAAAAATATATTGATTTATGATGAACTTTTCAGATTTTATGGAAGCGATTATCATTTGTTATTATTTTTATCATAAGCTCAGCCAAATATAAGTTGAAGAATGACAAGGGGAGAGTGTGGTAGATCACTGCCAGTTTTTGATACTGGATAGTAGATCAAAGCCTCCTTGAAGTTGGACATGCCTGTTCTATGGTCACTCAGATACTCCGCCATACCAGCTAGTAAACAAGCAAGTATCGACATCGAACATTTCAAGGATGTTCAAAGCTCTTAGCATATGTTATGTTAGGATGCATGTTGCTTTTCCTTGGTTGCCTTGGTTGCTTTTCCTTGAAATAGATGTAAGTATCAGTTAAGGAGGTCAGTATTTGCTGAGGTGTGGCACAGAAGTAGAAAGAAGGAGGTGGCTTGTTTACACTCATCTGTTCACACTCTTAGGCAACAGAGACTTAAACTGCTAAACCAATCATCCTGTCACCCCTCTCATATTCTGAGAGGGGAGCTAGGGTTAATTATTGGTACCTTCACTAAAATACAATTCCCAGGATTTTCTGTGGAGAAATCATAACAATGTAATTTATATTTGTAAGTTTATAGACATGAGGTGCTCTTAGCAGTTACACAATACTGGTTACCTCTTGCCTGATCTTTCATGTTTCCAAGCTTTCATCTTGGAAAATGTGGGATAGGACAAAAAACTCTATGGTAGAGGGAAACATTTCCATGACCAAATGATGGTAAAAGAAATGGGAGCAGACATGCACTGAATTAGCCTTTAACAATTCTGTGAGTTTGTTTTCACAGAAGATGATACATGTTCTGAGTTTCTTTCATTTAAAATTGTTTAAAAACATTTCCACCCAGTGTGTCCTCAACATGCCTTGGTGGGGAACCTTTTTAGCTCCTGGCCCAGAGTGGCTGGGGAGACTCAGCCAGATGGGCGGGGTATAAATAATAAAATTATTATTATTATTATTATTATTATTATTATTATTATTATCCTTATCAGGCTCACCCTTGTGGGCCAAATTTGGCATGTGAGTGTGGCCACTGACCTGGCACTCACATGGCGTCATTATGATGTCATTTGATTGCCAAGTGAGCAGGGCTGCCCACCTGTCAAAATCCCTCACACAGTTTTGCAATTCTTTCTACACTTCCCTTTTAAATCCAATGTTGGAGGTTTAAAAGAGGAATACAGGGAGACTTGCAAAGGCCAGAGCTTGGAGTCTGTCTTAAAGCTGCAAAGAAGCCTTTGAAGTAGTCTTGAGAGCAGGAGGGAGCTTGCTTCAAAGTGTGCTTTTGCCTGGCACTCTAAGATTGAATCTGCTGCCTATGCTCCTTTCTTTCTCCTTTCTGGGGAGAAAGAAAGGTGATTTTGCTAGCAAAAGCAATGGAGATGACTTCTCCAATGCTCTGCCTTTGCTTGCAAAATGCTGCCTTCTAAGAATGGAGCAAGATGGGGACTTAGAAGGAAAGAAGGAGGAAACTTGCAAAGGCTTCTGTGAGTCTCCCCACTTCCCTTTTCAATCTTCAGTCTCACGGTGATGTTTAATTTCCATTCATCATCAGGGAAAAAAACCATGTTAGGAATAGGATCATGCACCCAATGCAACGCTGGGAGTCATAAGAGCTGGAGTTCAACATCATCAGGAGACCCACAAGTTATCCATCCCTAGACTAAAAGCAAAATGGGTAGATAATAGCAGTTCAAATTGTGATCTGATCTTAAGCTTCTATTAAAGGCTCATGAAAACACAACAGACTCAGCCAGGCACCCATGAGACCTTCATTGCCCTAGTTATGAGCTATGGCACTAGCAATAGGGTACTTCAGAAAGCAGCTACAGAACATTTGAATTCTCAGTGGTCAACCAGGTGCCCTGCTTTTACACATCATAGACCTGTGCACCCTCTCAAAGGCAAAGACATCTCCAAAACGTGACAAGCTAGTTTTCCAGAACTTGCCCCAATACATTCTTCCACTTGTGCATTTCATTTTCTGTTTTAACATGACCACACACCCACTGCTTACTCCTGCTATAAAAAGTCACCTGACTTTGTCATTATGGGTGGCATTTCCCAGATGGCAAATCTCACCACACCCTTCTCACATTAGTCAACAGCTTGGAACCCTGAAGGAACAAGAGGATTCCTTCAGATGTTTGATTCAGGGAAATGGTGACCTATTTTTTCAGCATACCCCGCTTCTCCCTTTTAAAGTCACTTATCCGCTCTTAATTCATGCTAGTGAGTGCTTCCCAGACTGAAATACAAAGAGGGAGGACCCCTCCGTCATGGAAAAGTCTTCAATTCTCCACTATGCATGAATGCAGCCTTTGGCAACCTGGTGCCCTCCTACTAGGGCTAGTGGCAATTGTAGTCCAAAATATCTGGAGGGCAGCAGGTTGGTGAAGACTGTATTAACACATAGCAGAGAAATGTGGGGCTCTTGCTGGCTGCAAAGAAGACCCAAGAAAAGATGCTGTGGGTTCCTAACCCAGTAGCCACCAATGCTATGTGTAATACATGCTGAGGTCTAAACTTTTCCCAGGAAATGGATTCCTGAGAGCAAATAGATAACTGAAGGCAGCCAAAAGCTGCTAGAGGAAGGGCAATGTTTTTAACAAAAGGATGTTCAGATATAACCTTTCAGTACAGCTTCCTTAATTTTCATTCCATAGCCAACTCTACCATCCGGTTCAGAACCTAGTGTTTTCTCTACATCAGCACATCCATCAGATCTCTCCCAAAGACATAATTTAACTGAGTACGGAGATCTTGGGAGCCTGGCTTTTGAACAGTACATGAACCCAGCTTAAAAGCCAGACACTAAAAAGGGGCATACCTAATGAATCAAAGATGAGGAACCTCAGGCCCAGGTGCCAGATGTGACCCTCCAGGCCTCTCTATCTGGCTCTTGAGATCTTCCCCAGCCGCACATCCTCACCCCAGGCCTTACCCCTCACTGGTGTTGCTTCACACACTCCTTGGATGTTTTTGTTTGCATAGAATGTGGTCGCTAAATAACACTTTCTGGTAGAGATGGTTCATGGCCCCAACCCCCAAAACACTAGTCAGCCTCTGAAATGACACCCAAGATGGATGGGTGGGTCATTCACACCAGCTTCCTAAGCCCAATGGAGCCAAGTCTTCCATTATTTTAAGTGTTTTAAACAGCAGAAATTACAGAGTCCTAGAACTGCAGGGCAACCCATTGACAGAAAGTGTCCTTTTTTTCTCTATAGGCAGTAAGAATGTGGTGTCATTATCTTAAAAGAAAGACAACAACAGGTAAAGGAGAGCTGATATCCACCAGGAACCAACAGGTGCAACAGCTGAAAACAGAGGGAGACACAACTCTGTCAGAAAGTGTAATTTAAGGGGCTACCCATTCCCAGGTACAAAGTACACCCACATCTCTGAGTTTCCCAGAACTATTTTGCCAGACTCTGTAAGACAGCATTATTGGCCATCCTCTCCCTGGTTCAGTTCCCCATCTGCATTAAGGGGATAATACTAAACTACTTTACAGGGCTGTTGTAAAGATTGCCAAGAATGCATTCAAAGTGTTTTGTATGCTCAAAAGCTCATTATTCTACAATTACAAAGAGATGATGTAAAGTTTGGTTTTTCACTGCTCATAATCCATCTTACCTTGGAATAAGTTTTCCCTCCCTTCAGTTCCTGTAATGAGAAAACAAAAAGAGGACAGAAGAGTTTCATTACAGTAATTATAGCAAAGGCATCCCTCTCCTTGCCTGAGTGTAGTGACTGTACATGGTGAAAATACCTTTCAGTGCAATGAAAGGAATATGCAGTACTAACCATTCATCCACTGCTTGAAACAATTGCTGCTTTCCTAGCTATTTAAATTGGGTGCATTAGCTTCTCTGTTAAAAATGAGGTACATTTAGGGCTAGTCAAGCAGCAACCACTTAGGACTGGCATGCATTACGTGTGTTTGTGGGGTGTTAATCAGACACCTCTAAGTTACCTGGTTTTATTATACTGTATTTACTTTAAAAATGTATAAACCTTTTATCTAAAAGACATTATAAAACCAACCAACGACACACAAAAAAAGTAAAAGGAATAAAACCTTTAGACTAACTAAATCTGCTAAATATATTGGAAAGTTGTTTGCCTGCTTGCTATGCATTTGGATACCCCTTAAGATATCATAGCCAAATTCTGTATTATGGTTTCTGAGATAAAGGAGCAAGTTTTCATCTATGGTTGGATGCAATTGGACGCCATTTTGAATCAAGATGGCAGACAACCTTTCAAAACTGCACTGTTTTTGTTTCTTAGAATTCCTGAGCAATGCCAGGTACAAGCCTGCTACTATACCATTATCTAAAATTCATGGGAAAATAAAAAGGTTTTAAACTGGGATCAAAAAACAAAATACAGTCTCAGCCCCAGTCCTACCTACACTAGGAGGGCATTCCAGAGTCAGAGAACCACCACAGGAGCAGCTCTTTCTTTTCCACATACTTGATGCACTTCTAAAAACTGCACACAGAGAAAGACCCTCTCCGATGACCTTACTGCATAGGAGGTGCTCCTGTAGATATTTGAGCCCCAAGCCATTTAAGACTTTTAAAAGCAAGCACCAGGACCTTGAATTGGGCATGGTAATGAAGAGGGAGCCAATGTAGTTCCAATGCATTCTCTACATCCTCCCTTCAGGAATAGGAACCCAAGAAATAATGCATTTTATCCAAAAATTCTGCCACAAATAGCAGTTTGTGGCCTTCTGTACAAGGAGTGGGGTTGGTAAGCAAGTTACAATTGTGGGGGAAACTCAGGGGAATTTGGATTTTTATACATATAGGTTCATACAGTTCAGGGGAAAGCTGGGGGTGGTGATAGAGGGAAATCATATTCTTAGCTAAACAGAGAGAACAACAACTACAAAAACTATTTAAAAAAGGAATTATTGCTGGAGACTGTATTCCCCACTTAAAGCCATAGTTCTAGGTCATAAACCAAACAGGGGTAGAGTCAATGCGGGATACTCACCTTGCGGACAGACACACGGCAGATGCAGGGGTCCAGGAGGCCAGTGGCAGGATTGGCACTCATTTTACAGACAAAGGTAAATTTCTTTTTCCAGTGAACACAGTTCTCCTGAACTTCTTCTCTATAAAGAAAACAAAAAGAGGCAATGTTGAATTCAAACCACTTTGAACAGACTCCAGAACTAAGCTATCTTGGCTGTAGACTTCAAACCCAGAAAAAGAGAGAAAACATTACCTGTTACCCATTGTGTCCCTTGAGCTCTATCTACATTTACTTTGGGAGCACATTTGTCTGCACGACACACACACACACACACAGAGAGAGAGAGAGAGAGAGAGAGAGAGAGAGAACAAGCCTAAAAGCTTAAGCACATGTGGGGGTCAGGTGGGATGAACATGTCATGAATGAAGGGCGGGCTACTGAAAGAAGCACACTCCACACACACACACACACACACACACACACACGGCAGCCCTCCCGCAGCCCTGTAGCTTAACAGGTTCTTTGCAGGGAGAAAACTGGACACAAGAAGGCTAATCTTCTCCTGCAGGATCCCTTCAACTGTAGTCAATGAGCCTAAATTTGCCCTCTACCTTCAGCTCTTGATCCCTGCTTGTATGGGGGGGTTTAAGTACACACACACATTCATTCACTCACTCACTCCACTTTTCTATCACAGGCATAGGAGCCAATTCCTAGGGGATGAGGGCTCTTCACCGCCCCAATAAAACATTTGAGGGGGCCGGGGCCCCCCAAAGTTGATGTGCATTGCCATTCAAGTGGTGTCCGTGCACTGCATCATGTAATCAATTATGTAGGGCAAGACTTACTCACCCCCCCCACCAATATTTTATTAAAGTTGGCAGCCCTGATCGAAGGTAGTGATATCAGTAAGTTACATGAACAGATTTGTTTAGCTATAAGATCCACTATCTAACACATACCTTCACTGTCCACATATCACCCTGCTTTAGAGAGTGAAAAGCAGGTGTAGTGGTTATCCTACACACCCTGATTTTGTATTCCTTAACAGTCAGCATAACATTGAACCCCATACCACACCCTGGGAAAGCCATTTTTACACAACTAATTACTCTGGTATCACCCTCTTTTAGCTATCATCACAGCATCATTGTGAAGATAAAGGAGGGTGGGGGGAATCTGTCATGTACATTGCTCTGAGGTCCTCAAAGGAAGGACGGATTAAAATGTAACTAGTAATAAAACAATCAACATTAAATAACTCAATCATTTGCCCCAAGATACTACACAAGTGCAGAATATAAAAGGGTAGGATACTTTGTGAAGCAGCTTAGAGTAAATGAGCAGCAAATTAAAGTAAATTAAAACAAAGTAAATTTAATTTAATTGGGGGGGGAGAGAAGAAATGGAGTAGGAGAAATCAGGAAGCAGTTTGCATTGTAACTGCAGTAACCTGCCCTGGGACATTACAGTAAAGGACAGGTCAATAATAATAATAATAATAATAATAATAATACAAAGAGGAGTCAAACTCAACATCTAAACCTCAAAGACAAGTTGGGAATGGGGGGAGAAAGAAACAAATTTAATTTAAGAAAAATTAGAAGTATCCAGCAGGGAAGAGATGGAGGAAAAAGGGTAGGGTCACACACCCTCAGTTTTGGCCCTGCTTACAATCCCTGCCCCCTAAAAAGGTGAATGTAGTGTTTTGACAGAAAACAAGTTTGCCCACCCCAGACATACTATTTTCCTCAGTGGTATAATAAATGTTGAATACAGTGGTACCTTGGGTTACATACGCTAACCCAGAAATAGTACCTCAGGTTAAGAACTTTGCTTCAGGATGAGAACAGAAATCGTGCTCCGGTGGCGCAACGGCAGCGGGAGGCCCCATTAGCTAAAGTGGTGCTTCAGGTTAAGAACAGTTTCAGGTTAAGAACGGACCTCCAGAACGAATTAAGTACTTAACCCGAGGTACCACTGCAATCCCAAGTCTCAAATGAACACATGGAGAACAGTGCCCTACTTTCAGCTGAATTTACTCTGCCTTTTGGCCCAGTTTGGAGATTCTCTTTTTTACTGGCCTGTTGCCTCCATCAACCCAAACCAGAAATGCATGTTTTACAGGGGGGAAATGTGGGAAATGGCCCTGGTGACAGGACAGTTGACAAAATAAATGGCTCAGGCAGAAACAGATAAGAAGAACAACCTGGCTGGTGCAGGCCTTGGCTTTATGGCAAACCAACAGAAACATTAAGGCTGACAATAGACTGGGAGGAGGGGGCTGTGTTGCAGTGAAAAGGTTCAGGTTTTCATTTCTTCTCTGGGGTAAACCATCAAGGGTAGTGGGGAAATAGGTAGAATTGGCCAGCTCCCTTTTCAGTGAGAATAAACACAACTGTGAATGTGTACAAGGCAGACAGTGTGAGTTTCCCTCTGAATGTACTTTGATGAATCAGGGAGGCTTGTCTGATCAATTTGTGGGCCTGCCCACAGCTCTGAAGACAATTAAAAGTTCAAAGTGTAATTTGGAGGGGATAAGAAGAAGAAAAAAATAACATCACTGAGATTAGTGGAATACTTCTCTAGCTACCACCGGATAGCAATTTTCAAGCACAGAAGAAAAAGGAGTGGAGTGGGGGAGATAGTACCAAGAAGACATTAGATAAGATTGTGCTTCAATATTTAAATGCAGCTCTCTCTCCCCACCAATAATTAAATGTGGCTGTTTCTCCCTCATCCCTTTTTACCCTTAGGCACAATGCAAGTGAACAGAAACAGAATCAGTTGTGGGCTGGTAGGAAGAGGGAGCTTTATCCACTGCTTGTTCTTTGCTTTCCAACATTTATGGCTAAAGGGACTCTTTTCAATGTTCAGGTTTGTGAATACACATGGAAAAGTAACAAGCTCACAAAATGACATACTAGCCCACACACATTTATTATTGTCATTGTCATCATTATCCATTTATTACAGTCAGCAGATCATCCCAAAGCCAACACAGTACAATACCTTTATTAGGACTTTAAAAAAAAAAAAAGGTTACAAAATGGCGGTAAACAGTATCAGCCATTCAGTAAGGCCTTCCTTGTGGTTTTTTGGAGTTACTGATTCGGACCATAGACTCAGGTTTGAACTCCCACTTAGCCACAAAGCTCCCTGAGTGACTATGGACCGGCCACAGTCTGTCAGCCTCATATGGTTGTTGAGAGGTTAAATAAGGGAGGGGGAAGAAGAGCTAAATTATGGGATAACCTGAACATTGCTGTAATGTGTGTCAAAAGTCTGCGTCACTCTAATACATTCTCTATATATTATTGTTGGTGGGAGGTGTGCTGCAGTAGAATTCTAGAAATAAACTTTAATAAAGCTTGAGTTATGGAGGGTATATTTTCTGCCTGCTCAGCTTAAGACTTTAAAGTGAAGGAAATTACAGGGAGCATAATTTAACAGCTGGCCTGGATGAGACCAAGAAAAATGTGTGTATAATCACAAAGGGTACAATTAGAGAGGGAGCATGCACACAGAATGAAGCCAACAAGGTGCCAGAAGCAAAGCACGAAGACAAGAGGAAAGTAACAACATTTCCCAATCAAGATTACAGGGCAACCCTAGCTTCACCCTAAATCAGATGCCAGAAATAGATGCATCCAATTTGAAAACAATGTCCTGTGAGTGAGAGCTGGGGTGGGAATAGATTAGACCAATGACTTCGGCCATTAGTGCCAGATCATCACTGGGCTTGCGTCTATCTAATTTCATTAATACCTCCAGAATCAAACATTATTATTATTATTATTATTATTATTATTATTATATTTCTACCAGGCCAAAATATTTACATTTCATTCATATTCTTATCCTTCAGAAAAGAAGTAAAATATCCAAAAACCTACCACTGAACCCTGGAAATTTCTATGAGGGGCACAGAGGAAGGCCAAAGTATTCTGTCTCTCTTCTAGCACCATTCACTTGCCTGAAGGCAACTTTCTGCCTCAGGCTACCAGGCTGGTGCTTAAATACAAGGCTATTATCATGGTTCCATTTTACTTATTGACACTAAATGTTCATATATTCTTAGAAAGAAAATGCCATTTTTGCTTTTTTTAAGTTCCTGCAGTTACATACAGATCCAGTTTCCAGGACAGCTAATTTTGTGCAAGTACTTCCTTAAGAATTACGCTAAAAAACAGAAGTGGAAAAGCCCAAGTATTTTAATGACACACAAAGGTCAGATTTAGGCATCCCCATTTACAGATCCTTAAGTAATGGGGCAGAACAAACTTTTTCCAAGTTCCTCAAATTTATCCAGGATGTATGGTATAACGAAGAAAAAAACCTGACAGGAGATTGTACAAAATGCAGTTCACATATGCATATTCCCCAAGGCCTATTAGAGATTATGCATGGCCAGAGAATATACACAATTCAGATGAAATATGCACATTCCCCAAAGTCTGTTGGACATTATGCATACTGACCGAGAAAAGTGCACAATTCCCTCTTAGTGGATAGATTACGTGCACACTCTACATGAGACAAGGTGAATGTGTACATGGCCAATCATTATGTGCATTAACAACTCAACTTACATTCTGCTGAATATACATATGTGACACACACGTATTTCACATTTCATCCTCAGCACTAGGTACAAAAAGGGATCTCAGGTTGCAGTGAAAGACTATGGGGGAAAGAGAAAAAAGTATAGCAGCAGAAATGGCAGCTTTCCCACAGCATAAAAGCTAGCATTTATTCAGATCAATAGCTTTGTTTACTTCTCATTTTCAGGGGTTATTGTGCTTTTGAGATATCTGCTTGATTAAAAGTTTTATCACTAAGATATAAATCTGGGTCAAACCCTCAAAAGCAGCACTAATCCTCTTGTGCTATTGCAACAGATGGCTCTGCGTGGCATGTTGGCTCACCACTTTGTTTGAGGATGCCCCAGTTAAGCACCAAGGCCATGTCACGCTACCTGTTCTTAATCAGTAGGACAAGCCAACCTATCTGATAAAAAGTCATTCCCCCAGCCAATCCTAAAAATCCAGTATTGGAGGCTGTATGCCTCTGAGTAGCAGCTGCTGGGAATCTAAGGTGTGGAGAGTGCTGCTGTGCTGAAGTCCGGCTTGTGGGCTT